GTTTAGGGTTTGGGGTGTAGGATTTAAGGTTTAGGGTTTAGGGTTTGGGGTTTAGGATTTAAGGTTTAGGGTTTAGGGTTTCGCGTTTTAGGGTTTAGGGCTTAGGATTTAGAGCCTAAGGGGCTTAAGGGTTTATCGGTCAAGGTCAAGGGTTTAGGGCTTAGGGCTTAGGGCTTAGGGCTTAGGGCTTAAGGCTTAAGGCTTAAGGGTTCTTACGGTTTAAGGGTTGAGGGTTTAAGGGTTTGAGGTGCATGGAAGGTGAAAAGTTTTGGGCTCGGGGACTCGGGTTTGGATCCAGGTGTGGGGAAATGTAGGAGCTTTAATAATTAGAATAAGGTGTTTGGTGTACATTCTACTCAAATAAAAGAATAAGGAAGCCCCAAGATAGTATAGGTAATGGTTAAGAGCCCCTATAGTACCGGGCTTCAGGAAGGATCTCACATGTCAGATTCTGCAACGCAGCCGTAAATACAGTCGAGTTTAGGGTTTAGGGTTTAGGGCTCTGCGTTCAGGGTTTAGGGGGCCCTCAGAAGACTTACATGATTATGTCCTGTGCCCCGCTCTTCGACCGCCAAACCCAGAAACGCCAAAGCCAAAGCTTAAAAGACATGCTGAAACCGTCAATTGCGGAAGGTCTGACAGCCCATCACGGTGTCCATATACTTGTATCCCTGTATCCCCCAAGGGCCCATTCTCTGCACTGTACACTGGTGAGACTAAACCATTATGAGTGTAGTGGCCACTCTCTTTTCACCTTCAACTCACGGGGTTTAGGGTTTAGGGTTTAGGGTTTAGGGTTTACGGTTTAGGGTGTAGGGTTTAGGGTTTAGGGTTTAGGGTTGGTTGGGGTTTAAGGTTTGGGGTTTAGGGTTTTGGGGCTAATCCGCGAGGGCCCCAACACCCCCCAGTCTCATCCTGCAAGCCGGAAGGTGGACCCTATAGCTGCCTTCAGTGGAAGGAAACTACAGCTGGGGAGTTTAGGATATATAGGGCTTCTATAAGGCTTCTATAAGGTATGTAGGCCTTCTGTAAGGCTCCTATAACGGTAACTATCCACCTGAAAATGTCCTAGGATCATACGAGTATCAGCCCCGAAGAAGCTCAGCACAGCTGATTGTCTAGCCCCTGGATGCCTCGAGGATGGTCTTCATGACTTCATACCTTGGCGGGCTTCGGCCCTAAACCCTAACCCAAACCCCTAAACCCTAACCATAACCCCTAAACCCTAAACCTTGACCCAAATGCCAAACCCCTAACCCCTAACAACCCCCACAAACCCTAAACCCTAAACCCACCATAACCCCTAAAACCCCAAACCCTAGAACCTAACCGCTAGCCTCAACCCTAAAGCCCGCTTCAGATCTTTGAGGGGCTCCCAGGGTGTAGGCATTTTAGGGTTTACCTGGAGGCCCAGGGGACTTAGTAAGTAGGTTATAGGTAGAGTTATACGTACCCTAAAAGGAGTTATCCCAATTATAACCCTACT